CTCCACCCCACCCACTCTCCACCACCACCCACTCTCCACCACCACCCACTCTCCATCCCCACCCACTTCCACCCCCCACCCACTCTCCACCCACCACCCACCACCACCACCCACTCTCCACCACCACCCACTCTCCATCCCCACCCACTCTCCCCCCACCCTCCCACCCCACCCACCTCCACCCACCCACCCACTCCCACCCCCACCCACTCCACCCACCACCCACTCTCCCCACCCACTCTCCATCCCCACCCACCCACCCACCCCCACCCCCACCCACTCTCCACCCCACCCACCTCCACCACCACCCACTGTCCACCACCACCCACCTCCACCACCACCACCGTCCACCCACCTCCACCACCACCCACTCTCCACACCCCCACCCACTCTCCACCCCCCACCCACCCCCCACCCACTCCACCACCACCCACTCCCCACCCACCCACCTCCCACTCCACCACCCCCACCCCTCCACCCACCTCCACCCCCCACCCTCTCCCACCCACCCACCCCACCTCCACCCCACCCACTCTCCACCCCCACCCACTCTCCACCCACTCTCCACCCCCCACCCACTCCACCACCCCACCCACTCTCCACCCCCACCCACTCTCCACCTCCACAATCAACTCAATCCTCAACTATGTAATGAAAACTCCCGAACGATAAACTCCTAAACAAAAGAAATAAGCAAGTTAAAAAGAGAGAGAGAGAGAGACGAAGTTTATCACACTGGTGGCTACGACCTTCACCCCCACGCTTCCACTGGCTCTGTGAACTTCGTGGGAAAACAGTTTGTAAGCGACGTCGATCAGAGTGGTAATGTTTACGTTGGTTTTTGATATGGTGTCTGGTTTAATGGAGCCCCGTCGTGTGAATAGGATCGAGCCTTATAAAACCCCAAACATAACAACACACCTGAGATGTACCTTTAATTAACACCTTCACAAGACGTTGACGATATCTAGTCTCGGGTCAGGATTGTACTAAGCTTAGGTACTGATTCCCAATGCATCGTTTATCATTTTTTATTCCGAAGTGAAATATTTCGACATCATTCAGTTAGTGATCTCTGTGTCATAGTTTCAGGGAGACTCAGGTGCGTCTTTACGGAGTCTCTCGTGGCTTAAGTAATGAGTTCTCTTGTCACCAGTTAAAGGTAATTTGAATCCAGGAACCTCTCACCCCACCCCACTCTTCCTCCTCTTCATCCCCTCTCATTTTTACTTCTCTCTCTCTCTCTCTCTCTCTCTCTCCAATCACACCTCTCTCCTCCAAAGACCACACACCTCTCTCACTCAAACACCACTCACACCTCTCTCACTCAAACACCACTCACACACCTCTCTCCTCAAACACCACTCACCTCTCACTCAAACACCTCTCATTCACCCCCTTCACCTCTCACAAGGCCATTATTACTTCCGTCGCTATTAACCAGTAACCACTATTGCCCGCGCGACCCCTTATTACGGACAGGTGTAATTAGTACTTGTGACCCTCGTTATGAATGTCCCTTATTGATTACATTATTACCTGTTGTTCCTGCTGTTCCCTGAGGTCATGTCTACCGCCGTTGCCACCTGTTGTTCCGTGTATGTAATATTATCTGTTGCCTACCTGTTGTTCCGTTTACTTAATTGCCTAACTTACCTACCTTTGGACTCTGTTTATATATATATATATATATATATATATATATATATATATATATATATATATATATATATATATATATATATATATATATATATATATATATTTAAGTAGTGATCAGTGACGTAGTTTACACAAGTTACCCCACATCATATATAATGGTTCTATTTTGCGTATTTAAGGAGTAACTAAAGTGAAAAATATAAGTGTCTCTACAGTAAACATAGACCACAAACATTCAGTTACTCACAACAACCATACATCCACACATCCACACATCCACACATCCATACCCTCTCCAGCTAAAATATAAACTGGTTGTTGAACTTGTCTGAAATGGTATGGGTTCCGTTCAATGTTCATTTGTTATGTGTTATTGTAGTCACGAACTTGGAACCTCACACTGTAGTATTTTGTTGTATTCACTTATAATTCTACTGTAGTTTGGCTCGACTATTGTTTATTTTATTATACGTTTCTGTACTAAATGAAATATTATGTTATTCTGTAACCGGTGATAATTTTGCTGTAGGCTATATTTTTTTTTTGGCCGTGGTTATGTTCTCGCTTGGATGTATTTTATATCCGTGCTGTATCCTGTTGACGTATATTACTGTAACTTGTATGTTGCTGTATCGGTATTCATCCTGCTATTTATTGAACACACACACACACACACACACACACACACACACACACACACACACACACACACAGTTTTATTAATTTATATTTGTTTATTTTGTCTATCAATTATTTTATGAAACAACGGATAGGCGACATAAATTCACGATATTCAATTAAAAAAAATAAAGATTATTTAACTTCTTGTGTATTTTGCTGATGGTATTTATACAAGAACAATACATTTGTATGCAGTATACGTATATCTATCTCTCTATCTATCTATCTATCTATCTATCTATCTATCTATCTCTCTATCTCTCTATCTATCTATCTGAATCTCTATCTATCTATCTATCTATCTAAGGTTTTTTGTGTATGTTTCTTTGTTTGTCTGTGTATATGTGTGTGTATACCTCATTCGTGTATAACTACCATTGACAACATAAATCACCCTAAATAAATAATAATAATAATAATAATAATAATAATAATAATTCACTCTGTTTACTTCATGACATAATAACTTCAACCAAACTTCAACCAATTCTCTCAAGAGTATAAAAATTCACCTATAATACTCCTGTACAAGGTGGTACATGACGTCTATAAAATAATATGACCTTCCATCACCTTGCCTTCCTCCATCATGTCACAAATATCATAATTCCAGCATTTACAATTATTTAAAAATGCGAAAATGTCCAATTTTTTTTCTAATGGTGTATATATATTAAATTTCACGCTGGGGCAAAATATTAGTCAAATAGAAAATGATTGAGAGTATGATAGTGTGATGTGTCAGGTGTGTTGTGATGTGCTGGTTGGTGGTGGAGATGTGCCAGGTGCTTAACCCAATATCAACCAAGGGCTTTTATTGCTATATGCTTCTTTGTGTTGCTGTAAATCCTTGTGTATTGATGTGTGTTGCTATAAATGTTGCGTCTCGTTGTAAAAATGTTATATATATACTATGTGCAACTAAAATGCTCTGTGTTTTTTTTCATAAATATCGTGTGCTAAAATAAATGCTTTGTATTGCTATAAATGCTGGGTGTTGTTATCAATGCTATGTGTTGCTGTCATCCTCTCACCAGTCGTCAGGAGACTTTGGGGAGGACGAGTAGTTAACACACACTCCGTCCACTCGCCCTCAAGCGCCAGTCTCTGTATACATAGGTAGACTTACACGACTTCATACACGCATACATAGATATAGGTGGACTGTATGTATGTATGTATGTATGTATGTATGTATGTAAGTATGTATGTATGTAAGATAACTAAGGTGTAAGTTGAACGAGAAAGATAACTCAATAGTACCAGGATAACCTTGTCAATGTAGGATATCATGTCGAGTCACACAAGGGAGAGGTTAATATTAAACAGGATATTATCATTTTACACCAAGGGTTTAACGAGTCATATCCTGTCTAGTGTCATATCGAGATAATAATGACCTATAACCTGTTATTTGTTAAACCCTGAATATATATTTTTTCTTCGTGGGTTTAGATAAAAAAAAGTATATATATATATATTTGTGTTTTTTTTGTTCTTATCAACATCCAGATATACACAACACACATTAACTAAGCTGTCAGGATGTTAACATTTGCCCACCGAACATTTTCCCCCAGTGACGAAACTTTAAAATTTGTTCTGTAATCGTGAAATGCAACAGGAATCAAACTACCCTCGCATGGCATCAGTAATTATTGAGAAAATTGGAGTTTGTACCTAAAGTCATATTTTTTCCCTATTTTTTTTTCCTTTTGGCTTGAGGGGGAAAAATAGAGCGAATATTGTGAATGAACAGCGATGTATTTTCTGCCTCGGGTTGTGTTATACATTGCATTTAACAGCTCGTTGTAATAAGTGTCGACCCCCTGAGTATAGTTAAATAGTCTATTGAGGAAGATAATCCCGAGAGTACGATTACTTAACCCCTTGAGAATGTAACGTATCCCTTTGAGAATGATGAAGTAGGCCCTTGAGAATGATGAAGTAGGCCCTTGAGAATGATGACTTAACCCTTTGAGAATGATGACTTAACCCTTTGAGAATGATGACTTAACCCTTTGAGAATGATGACTTAACCCTTTGAGAATGATGATTTAACCTCTTGAGTACAATTACTTAAACCCTAGATTACGATGGTTTAATACCTTGAGTACGATGGCTTAACCCCTTGAGACATAACGGTCCTTTGAGAACGATGCTTAACCCTTTAAACACGATGCCCTATTCCACTGAGTGTAATTATAATGTAATCATGAGGTAGAGCCCGTGAAATGAACCCTGTAATTACTTTCGTTAGCGTGTATAAATACTGTTTTGTCAGTTTGTAGGTATTATTTGTTAGCCTATTTAAACTTTCTATTGACCTGTACAAACATAATGTCAGTTATTTAGTACTAACTTACCGCCAGCACCTAAACACCAACATATTGTCAGCAGCTAGATAGATAGACAGACAGATAGATAGATAAGCTAGTAGATAGACTGGTGTATACATAGATAAGTAGAGAGAGAGAGAGAGATGTTGGGTGAGGGATCAAGGTAGTGTGTCCTGATACTGGCGTCTGGCAACACTGACTCCCCTCCCCGCCAATCAGCTGTGATGCAGGAAACGACGAGTTACGATTTCGTTCACCTCTCTGATTGCAGTGTGATGCTCAACGTTTTTATCGCTACCCTCTTTTGATAGGTAGTCA